TGGTGAACGCGTTACTCCCCCGAAAGGACAATTGCGCGTTCGTTCCCCACCGCATACACCTGTGCTCCGGAGTTTTATCAAAATCTCAGCATCATTAAAGCTATCGTTCCTTCAGTACCGCGCATACTCCCCCTGCTCTTCACCTTCTCGATGTTTCACTCTTCTTCTATACCTCACATTTTCTTCTCTTCTATGTTTTCTCTAGGCCGTTCTGCTAAGCCCACGCGAGTTGGCGACTTTCCATGACTTCATCTGAGCTGTTGTTGCACAGTTTGAGTAAGAAAAAACTGGATGAATAGTTAGAGATAAAGTAAATGTGGTATGGAAGGTAGTTATTTTAAATCCACTCACTTACAAATGCTTAAAGTACTACAGAAAGTTAGTCAGCTCAAGAAACGGATATTGCATAACCTCACTCAACCAATCACGCTCAGATAAAACTCGTCATTGAACTACTTCTGTACGAAAATACAAATCCATATGCTTTGTCTTATCGGTGCGCACGTAGCGCATTGGTTAAAGGTCCGCTGTATCACAGACGTTGTCGTCGGTTCGACTATGCTCCCCAAGCTCACCAAGCCTTCCATGCTTGGGGTCGGCCGTTAGCGCAAGTCTTATTTTGTGGGGTAGCAGCAGTGTCTTCATACATCGGTAGGACAACGCAAATCAACGTATATTCCAGATATGCATTCAATCACGTCAAATAGTGCCTAATGAAGTCGGATGTGTGGCGCGTCCCTTAAGGATTGATCAACGCCGAATGCATTACTCTTTTATCTTTTTTGTGGCTTATCATAATCACGACAATGTTTCTAGATTTTGGCAAATCTTCCAACCGTTTTTACTTTGCTTTACCACTAATAAATCAACGACAGGTAATGTTGTTCTTATTCTTTTTCAGTAAGATGATGCGATTGTCAACTTTGTTCAGCCTATTACCGACGGAACAATATAAAAAAAAAGAAAGGGCAAAGCTTTCGGAGCTGATCAATCCCTAAGGAATGCGCCATGCGTTCGACTTCATTAAGCATCGTTGGAGGTGATTGAATGCATATCTGGTCTTTACAATGACTCGCGGTGGCCCACCGATGTATCGAGTCGTGCTGTTATCCTCCCAGACAAGTCTGGTACCAATTTTCCGACCCCGGAAGGATGGAAGGCTTGATGGGCCAATGGCGCGGCGATCGATTCTACGTGTGTGTTGCAGGGCGCTTCCGACCACTGCGCCGCACTCGCAGACGGAACACGCCAACTGAACGTAAAGTTCAGTTTCAAAAATAGATATAACCGTACAGATATCTATATATGTATGTAACGTACAAACCTACATGTGAACATATCCTGTCTGGTGTGATCTGTGTAGGTGTCGTAGGGAGTGCAACGAAAAATTGGGCCTAGTTGAGAAAGTGTTGGTAGGAAGTATACATTCGCATACTATTCTATTCAGCGAAGGGGCTGGAAGCACTGACACAACTATTAAATGCAATTTTATATCGATGTCGTTCATAATCAAACTTTGGTGGCCTGTTGCTCAAGGCGATCAAAATATTCGATGAAAGATCTCCTCAGTTGTCGTCAATATTTTAGTGGATATCTGCTGAATCTTGTATTATTGACATAACAAGCCATGTTCTCGGTGCATCGGCTTTTCGATCGCGTTTTTTCTCACACTTTGTGACCGTCATGGTGCTTTCCCGACCTTTTTCATTCATCTGTATCACTTTTCGTGCCGCTGATTGTTGTGTCACTCGAGCTGGGGCCAGTAAAATTTCCCCTTCTTCCTATCGTGTGCAAGAGTGACTCAGTACGTTCTCTTCGCTCGAGGGACTCTTTGAGCATCATATCCTTTTTCTAGAGTTTTTGTGAAGAATTGTGACCATCATGCCCATGATTTTCCTGTAGTGACGTCGAGAAGTCGAGTCACTAACAGCTCTTGCCCATCGGTTACCGTTCATAAAGATTTCGTGTCCTGCTCACCTTATTTTCGATAGTTTGGCGTATAGAACGGCACCTTTGAATTTTGATCGTTTACGCAGGTCGGAGCATCGGATCACTTCCTTCACTTATGCGACACGGGGTACTCCACGCATCGTCCATTCGACTGCGCGTCCAATAACGCTGAATGATCTTTCATCAATCGTTGAATCGAAAATGTGGGCGGGGAGTAGAGTGTTCTTTCTTTTCTTCACTACATTCTCCTCTCTCTTGAAAGCACTCGAACCGCTCGCTTCCTCTTGCTTAACTCTGGAGCCAACTCATTTAACATGCTACCTCCCGACCTCGATAGACGTAGCTGGGTCATTCAGAGATATTTGTACCATTGAGGGTGGATAGGGCATACGAAAGCAATCCGTTCCTTATGAGCACCACTTTTGTGAGATTTAGTCGAAGACCAATCTTTTCACAGAGGGTATGAAAGTTGGCTATTATTCGTTACCTGGATAATGCTTGGTCATTTCTGACTATCAGTTTTCACTAATATGGTGTACCATTCGAATGCTCACATGACGATCTCGAGGGTGGCGGTAAATAATCTTGCCGGGATGGTATCGCCTTGCGTAATTCCTCTTTTGACGTCAATGTTAAGTTGTTAAATGGTGACATCAAAAGCTTTCTCTAAATCAATAGAAAGGCGACAGAGCGGTCTCTTGTACTCTCGTAATACTTTAATGAGTCTTGTAATCATGTGAACAGTGTCTATTGTTCTGAATCATTTTCGAAACCCTGCGTGCACATATGGCTTCCCTTCGTCCAGTGTTCTGCTGATCCTTTTTTAGAATAGCTAGAATGAAGAGTTTGTAGACGATAGATAGTAAGCATATTGGGCGATAGTTGCCGATATCGTGAAGGTCACCACCATTCTTGAACAGTAGCACGGCCCTGCTGGTCTTCTACTGAATGGAAACCTTGCATACTGACAGTGACGTAGGTTTATGAAAGGCTAAGCCGGTGTGTTTGTGAGAGCAGGCAAAGGATTGTTCAGGCGTTCAGGTCTTCTCGTCTCCGGACCAGATGTTGTTCGATTTTCCGCCGACGAAATAGCATGAGCTATTTCAGAAGGAAGAGCGTTGGGGCGACATTTCTATCCCTTTTTATTTCATATGAGGAATAAGAACATGGAAATCGAAGATGTCGGAGTAGTAACTACGAATAATTATCTCCATTGCCTTTCTGGAAGCTGTCACTGTGTCATCTGGGCATGAGAGTGCCACTACCTAGTTTTTGTATTTGGCGAAGTTTCGGTTAGCTTTACGAATGCTCTTTCCAGCCTCTGCAGCGTTCACCGTAACTGCTGCTCTTCTCCCTTTAAGATCTTCTTTTATCACCTGTCCGCATTGTTTTGCAATTCCGGGCGTGCCATGGCCGTTGCTTCCAGCTCGTGCGATTCCATGCTGGCGTATCAGCTTGGATGTTTCTGGACGCAGACCTCTCTTTGTGATTATCGAATTCTCAGCTCTTATATCGATAACGCGGTGTCGAATCCGCCAATCGTACTTCTCGTCAGTATCGTCAATAACGGAATCTTCACGACTAAGGAACTGAGTAAGTCCCGCTTTATGGTGGATCTGTGACTTCATTTTTTGAATTTAGTGCTTTTTTCTTTGCCGCAAAGAATGAAACCTGGCGCGAAGGAGACGACGGTCTGATCCCGTATAGAGTTTTAGGACAGCCGCGATATAGATAAGGCAAAACCTTCGAATTACTATGATGTGGCACTCTCAACCGGGTGACTCCTACATCCAGCGTTGAGAGTGGGCCTTCTGGAATTGCCGATTACCATGGTTGGACTAAGTCGTCATACAGACAGCCGCTTACCCTGCTCGTTCCGTTCTAATTCGTGGGTCCCAATGTGACGTTTTTCAAGCATTCTTCTGAGTCCAATCTCGGCGTTGAAATTTGCAGTGATTACCTTGAAGAATGTGTAGTATTCTCTGTAGAACTTCTCCAAGTCTATATAGAATGCCCTGATTTCTTCATCGTCACAGTTTGATGCTGTTGCTTAAACGACGAACTTTTTCGAAGCCGGTATTGATCCACATCTCCTCAACCGTAAGTGTCCGATTCGGGTTGTTAGCTGTTCAAACGAATCGATCATCATGACTAAATTTCTGTAGACGACAACGCCGACGCCACCGAATTCTCTGTTGTAGCATGTCCGAAAAACCGTTCTCCTTGGATGCCATAGATGGCGTTGAATATGTGACTTTTTTTTTTCTCCTGGCCAGTACGACGACGTGATTCGTTATCTTTTCTGCCTGCATGGTCAAGTGCTCTATCGAGCACGGTAATGCAAGCGTGCGTGCATTGTAGGTGCAGATCGTCACGTTAGTCCTTTGTGATTTAGGCAGCTTAGAATGGGCCTGAGGTTTTAGCAGCCACTCCATATTCGCCCTAACCAACGCTTTCGTATCAGACGATCTTTCGGAGATGCCTGTTTGTTGTACTGCGTTCAGCGTTTGATAGCGTTTCTTAAATGTTCTGCAAACAAAGACCTTTATTGTCTTGCATACTACGGCGTAGAGCCATTGCTTTTCTATTCACCGATTCTTCATACCGTATGAGTTTTTTGCTTAATAGTAGATCTACCCCCAGATCAATGACAAGCTCGAGAGGAGTTCTTTCTTATTTACGTATTTCGTGCCCGACCTCCACGCTTACCTCATTCCACAATCTCTTTACTTCAATTAGTTGCCTCACAATCGTCTTCCATGGAGAGAACCACGATCATAAGCGAGAGGTCAGCAGCACCTTGAAGATCTGTGCACTTCTCCCCCAATGACGTGATGGATGCAGGACCCGCATTATTTTCCTTGAAATCTTGAGATACTCGTCCTCAAGTGTTCCCGGTTCACCACAGGTATTCTGTGATTATTCCAACTAGGTCGGTTTTCTTTACTGTAAAACTTTTTTGAGGAGTTGCAGCGACAGGTGACATCTATACATATTTATTTCGTACGTACTAAAATAATGGAAGGTGAAAGACCTATATCGAAACTGAACTATAGTTCGATCTTCTCGGGCTTGATAATTTTTTCGAGTAACACCTCGAAATGGAGCGGTGCATTTCCAGGAATACGTGGAGCTCGACCTTTCTCTCCGTAACCTATAAATGTCAAAACTCCTATCACCCTCCCAACCACCAGCTGAAACCGCCGATGGGCCTACCGAGCTCAGGCGGGATGATCAGCTTCCTCCGCTCTCCCTCGCACATTCCGTCCATACCAATATCCATTCCCGCAACCACCTGGAAATATGAGAGGTTAGTTTTCCAGACAATCGTAACCGAAAAAGAAAATCAAATGAGAATAATCATGATGGTATGTGAAAAAGCATTTTTGAGAAATCGGAAGTTGCTGGTGCAATAAAGTGTATCACTACACAAAATATCTTTTACTAATGCTTGTGGTGATTCACCATCAAATTGGTATTATAAAGTTTAATACAGTTTATAACAGCTTTGCAACCGTAGATCCTCCTTCATTTTCTTCATAGCTTACAAAGTACTTTCTACGCACGTTGTTCTAATACTTGTTCTGAAGTAACTTTGTCTTCAAACTTTTTATATTTCTGGCACTTAAACGTTGTTGACCATACTCTGAGAGATATAGCGAGTTCATTAGCTTCTTACAGGTGCGCTTACGTCATAAAACCAATCAAAAAGTATTAAACGCGTAACATTTCATATGCTTTGGAAAACATGTCTACCGAAAATCTTGGCAAGAAGAATATTGCAAAGTTCAAGACAGAACTTCTACTAGCCTCTCTATTAATCAATAATTCACTGTTTACTGAATGCGTAGCCCCGCGGTTGTCATTGCATTATTTATCCGCAATATCTAACTTGTAGGCGAGTTTGCCTTCTTCAGCGCCTGAGAAAGTCAAATTAACACACAATACACTCAGTGGCGCGTGTGGCACAGTGTTCGGAGGCGCCCTGCAACACACATGTGGAATCGATCCAGGCACCCATGGCACACCAAGCCTTCCATCCTTCCGGGGTCGGCAAATTGGTACCAGACTTGTCTGGGCGGATAACAGCACTGGCTCGATACATCGGTAGGCCACCGCGAGTCATTGTAAAGGCTAGATATGCATTCGATAACCTACAAACGATACTTAATGAAGACGAATGCATGGCGCATCCCTCAGAGATTGATCAACGCCGAGAGCTTTATCTTTTATATCCTCGTTGGGCGCTCGTGGTGCAGTGATCAGAGGTGCCCTATATATGGGATCGATCCGGGCACCCCAGGCTCACCAAACCCTCCATCTTTGCTGGGTCAGTAACTGGTACCATACTTCTCTGGGAGGATATCAGCACTAGCTCGATACATCTGTATCCCATCGCGAGCCACTGTAAAGGCCAGAGATACATTAAGTAACCTCTAACGATGCTTAATGATGTCAAATGCATGGCCCATCTGTCAGAGGTTAGTCAACTCTTAGAGCTTTATCCTTTTTTATTCTCGCTAGAATTATCTTTTAGGCGTGTCGTTTTTCTCGTACGTCTAACCCAAGGAGGTGGTGCTTCGTAGCCATAAGAAATGACTATTTGCTGCGCCAGTTTCGGGGATTCTTCTTTCTGCTCTCTTCCTGTGCGCACACTGGTGGCTGTTCGGTACATGTTCCCCACAAGCGCCCTTTTTGTGCGTGAAAAGGAGAGGAGAGGTAATAAACCAGTACGTTTTTAAAACTAGGTTTTGGTAGAGTAGTGATCGAAGACTGAGTACGAGGTGTTCTACTTTAGACGTGAACGCTATGGAAAGGCTTGGTACCAATCACTGTCTCATAGCCATATTTTTTTTATTACGCTTGATAGTTCATTCGTTGAGATCGTGAAAGAGTTTAACCTAGTAGGTTGCTTGTTAATTTGACCTATGCAGGCCCTGAAGAAGGTGAAATAGCCAAAACCTCGGTTATTGTGGATAAATAGTGTAATAACAACTTATGACTATTCGCCAAAAAGAAAACGGTGAAGAATGAAAACAATGAATTGGCTCCCGGAAAGGGCAATTGCGTTCGTTCCCCACCGGAGACACCTGCGGTCCGGAGTTTTGCAAATATCTCAGCATCATTGTGGTTGTACCACACACAATACGCTGCTGTGAAAAACTGTAACAGGCAGCAAATAAAAAGTTAGCACAGTGAAGAATACTGAAATTCGAAATTTCTCATTAGTCTCAATTCACGTTTTAACTCCCCAAAAACTTTATTACGAGACAAATATGTTCATAAATAAAGAAATCTTGTCCTATTTCTAAGCATTTCTATTTGAGTTGCAGTTCTAAAGGCCCAAACCGGTGCTCTAGATTCACTCAAAAGTTTTCACAATGTAGCACTAGTTTATGGAAAGAAGAAAGGGATGTAGAGTAAACAAAAAAGATGCCGAAAATTTTATCCCGCGGATGAATTTTTGAACTAGAATTTTTTGTAAACAATGCCTCTTAGAAGATGGGTAGATAGGCAGTACTGATGAAACTGTTTTCGATTTCTCTTTGTCATCTCAATCATTCCTCGAATTTTTCCCTACCTGATTTCTTCTGAGCTTGAATATGAATGGTTTGTTTCGACTCCAACTTGAGTCGACGAAGGTGCCGTCTTCGAGGTGAAGCGTATACTGCTGATAGAGAGTGTCTCCTTCTTCGGCTTTAATGCACTCATCTTCAGAGATTTCATGAGTAACCTAGAAATTTCAAGAGAAAAACATAGCCGAGAAAAATGACAGGCTTTATAAATTCAGATTTGAGAGAAAAATCTGTAGATTTCACTGGTACGATGAAACCTACAATTATATGAACACCTTCATCTGTAATCCATTTTTCTCCCGGATTTGGACGAAATATACTTTTCAATTCCACAAAGTAGTGGAGTGGTTCGTTCTTCTGAAGCGATTCTCATTAATTATTTTCCAACAGCTATTTTAAAGTGTTTTTCTGTTACTTACGAACAAGACGTAATATCCACAAAGAACACGGATATGTGGCAATTTTCACTAAGTCATTAACTACCTGATGGGAATATTATGAACGGATGTGTCGTGATAAATGGAGGTTTCAGGGTGCAGTGGTACTCATCTGTCTAAAACACTAAGGATTGGCGGTTTGACCTGGCCGCAGACTACTCATTGTGGCAGGATCTCAAACTTTGAGTTTTTTGCCACTACCGAATATTTAAGTAGTTTTTGAACCCAATAATTAAATAGGAGTTTTAAGTTTTAATAAGTTAGCTCGTAACCGTCTCTATGATCATTTGTGCAGCTCAGAAAACTGTATGAGCTGTCCTAACGGGAGAGACGGGGATTGCATGAGTTTAGGTATAATATACTTGATCTCGTGTAATGCATGCGGCGAGGAATATATCGGGGAAACGGGTAGACCACTTTGTGTCCGCATAGAAGAATGTCGAGATGGAAAAGCTAAAATCCGTTTAAACACCCCTCTAAGTACGCATAGGGCACAAAAGCACAACGGCGATGATTTTGAAGTGAATGCGCGGATCCTAGCGCAGGAATCGAAAACATCAACGCGCAAAACTCTTGACGCGTTTTGGATAAATTTCAAAAATCCAGAGATGAACAGGAAAGACGAATGCCTCACTATCACACGTGACCTAGCGCCCTATTTCAAAATGATATTTTGACCTCGGGTGTCTCTTGTTCGCGATCCTACGTAAACAACGCGTGGGCCAGTCTCACTCGTAACATCACGATTTTCTGTTCAGTATGGCGTCTATTTGAAAGTTTGATCTTCATTAATACTGTAGCCTTTTTCCACAAAATAATTAAAGTATTCTTATATAAAACACGTCCAGGCTCTGAGGAAGGCGAAATCGCCGAAACGTCAACCATCGGCCAACAACACCAACAACAACGACAACGACAACGAAGACCTATGCCAACCTCTCATCAGCTAAAGAGTTTACAAGATCATATAAATAAATTAAATAGGATTTAGACTTCGATTATACATCGTACAATATACGTTATCGAAGGCGAACAAATCGAAGTGGTTGGTTCTCTGATTGCAGAGACCACGTCGTACGTATACCTTGCGCGATGAAAGAACATGGAAAAAAACAAGAAGGAACTAGACAGATGAAGGAGAGTAGCTTGGACCGCATTCGGAACTCCCAACGAAGCACCCGCCCGACCAACTGCAGGACCCGAAAATCCGCGCTCACCTTTCCGATTTAAAAATCCTCACAGAGCTCTGTTATTCAAAAAAAATGTGGGCTGATAATTCGATCAGGCAAGAATACTGCGCACAACTCAAAGAGCGCTTGAGCGATGTCTTCTGAAATATAACCGGTACTGGACGAAAAGAACTGTATAGTAAACTCCACGAGATTACAGACGTGCCTTAGGACGGCTACCTACACGTTAGCAGACGTGTTCGTAACCAACGTTAATCAGCTGTACTCGCAGGTGCAGTTGTTTTACAGATTGTGGGGTATGGGACTCACACCAGTCACCACTCTCAAATCAAACCACTATCACAGAAGATGATTCCGATGCAAAAAAGAGAATGGAAAACGTGTTGAGGTCTGCACAAATCGTGAAGATGGACCGTCCTAGCATGCAAGTAAGTAATAACTAAAGAAAAACTGAAAAACCGATGTGAAGTACTACTTTTTTCATGAAGAGTATAAAAAACATTTAAATATCAAGCAACCACGTAAAGCTGCGGTTGAAAACCAGGCTTAGTACACAGATGGATAAAATCAACTAATTGTTTTCCCATGGAAAAACTTTTTATATAGCAAGTTTTATCAGCTAAAAAGTGCTCACGTCGACACTGACAGAAGCCGCATCGTCACCAAAACCTTCTTCAGGTGGAATTATTACCTGAAAATTCGAAGCAATAAAGTTCATTATAGTGACGTTAAGATTTTTGCAAAACTCCGAACCGCAGATGTCTGCGGTGGGGAACGAACGCACTTTTCCGGGTGCTAACGTGTTCACCAAAACACCATGCGGATCCTTCGTTTTGCCTCTCAACTATTTTCTATCGACCAGTGCTATTAGTAAACACCCATCAATGGGGTTGATCTGAGAATGCACTGAACTTAGTTAAGCTGAGGCTGTAGTTGAAATCACAATGTTAACTTTTTATTTACTGCCTATTACAAATTTTCATGGCAGGGTATTATGTAATAGGCGATAAATAGAAAGTTGACAAAGTACGTTATATTCTTCTACCCTTACCATTTCGGTACTTCACTTTCTTCTCACTATTTTCCATTTTCTCTACTTGATCGATTCACATACCTTACGCTGTTCACCAACGCACATTCCATCCATGGCGATATCCATGCCGCTAATTACTTCACCACGTCCTAATACAAATGTGAACCTAAAGAGAAACTTATTACCAGTTTGTCCCTAAAAAATCTTACCTTTGATGTGAGCTTTTTTTAAAACAGCGTCCACCTACAGAAAAATGTAAACCTGCCATTACAAATCCGTTAACGTGATTTTCGCTTTCGCTCTACTTTTTATTTGAATAACGACACCCATAGACACATCGTAAAAAAGATAAATACCGATTCGTCCAGAAATGCCGTGGAACTGTACTACATAAATCACTTGGAGCGCCATTTATTTCGTCGAGGATATCAACAAACTCATTTGACGCCTGTCAGAGATCAAAACTGCTGTATTTGCTCTGTTTGGGATACTAATGGTATCACACTTTTGGCAGTATGCTTTCCAGCCTTTCTTGAAGCAAATGTGCTTTGGGCGAATGTCAAAAGCCCCATGTGGTCATTGGTTCGATCCCGCCCACTGAGAAAAGCAAATCCCCCTTTCATCAGAAACCGGCAAATGCGTACCAGATCTGCTTAAGAAGCTAAAACAAATGCTGATTTGATAGATAGCTACGCACCCGGAAGTCAACGTATAGGTCATTCAGCTCCAAGATGCTCAATGAACGCGAATGCATGCCTTGTCTCTGAGCAATTGCACAACGCCAAATGACTTATTCTTTATTAATATCTTTTGGATGGTGATGCTCATGAGCAACTCGTCGGTATCTGTTGCTGTGTTAGTTTTACTCTTAAGTTTCTTTCTAGATGTAAATGTCTAACGCCTTCCCAAATTGGGTTATCGAACGCCAACCACATCTACATCTCATCCTATCCTCGATAAGGCGGCATGAGGCCGTGGGAACGGCATTGTACACAGAGGGAAATAGAAGCTTGATAGATCATGCGATGGATCATGCACTTCTTGCCACTCTTACCAAGTTTGAACTCACGGCTTCTGTCCGAAATTGCTCCCGACAACCTGTCCGTCCTTTTTTGACAACTTGTAGAATTGCTCCAACGTATCACCAGTTTGCGACCGAAGTTTACATTTTGAATCTGCAATATCAGCTATGTAAAAAACGATTTTATCGATATTTTTAACTAATTTACTGATTTCCTCGTATTTTGAAAAAGGACTCCAAAATAATTACAGAACTGCAAGCGTCCCATCGATAGTATGAATCGTCGCGGCAAAAACGGTTCCACTGCTTCCCCATACACCACCACTTAACAGCAAACTCTATTTTTGCGCCATTTATTAAGCACTCAATGTTCTCTTCTAGAAACAGGTGGCTAAATCTACCAACGCTGAAAATAAGATTTAACTCGAGCTCAACCTAAACCACCGTTTAGAAATTGCGTCAACATCGATTCCACATGATTTATCAAAGGTAAAAAACAAGTTAAGACTTAACGTGAACTATTTTTTGTTTCGTAGTTTGCTACCACAAAGTGTTCTTTCAAAGAGTGTGCCGTTACGCGGTGGTCAGAAGAGTCCTGCAATGTACATTTGATTCTTCGTTCGAACTCACGTTCTCTGGAAATCTAGCCTACAAACCTCCTGATCTGGTTAACTGGTGCCAGATTTATCCGCTTGGGTACCGAATACTGACTTGACACATTGAGGGCCATCGTAAGTCATTATATAGCTGCATTTAATAATCTCTACGATTCTAAGAATTGAGTTGAATGCGTAGCGCATTTCTCAGGAACTTCTCAATGTCGAATATCTTATCACTTTTTATTCTTTATCCTTCTAATATATTTCAATCTCACTGTTGCTTTTTCATTTTATTGAGCACCATATGTCATTTCTGAAACGGTGGCTATCTACACCTGTCAAGCATCTTCTTCAGTTGAAGAACAGTGTACGGCAAGATTCCCACTGACAGAGTGAGCTCACCGAAACTCAGAAGGAAGCCGAAATTTCTGCACAGAAACCTTGACAATGCAGAATTTTCGTGGAAAAGTCTTCCTGGAAGGAACGTAGACTCAAGACTTCAGATGTTCCTGCGAATTTACAAAAGCAAGGTGATTGGCTACAGCAGTAGTGTAGGAACGCACGGCTATCTCGGCGCAATAAGAGAAAAAGTTCTCGTTGGGACATATCATACGTGGACTTAAGTTTTGTACAGTAAATTATTTAAGAACAAAAAAGAAAGCCTTCTAGAAAGTGTTTATTATTCAACGCACCCGGGATTTTCTTGATGATCTCGATTTCGATCCCTTCGTCTGTGGTCCACTTTCTGTCACTCGAAGCTACCCAACCGCTTAACAAAACGAACAGCAACAGCATCTATCAGCTAAAATTCATTGGTATCTTCTTCCAAAGTTTGTTTTCTTTTAAATCTCAGAAAACCACCAACAATATGGATAACACTGACAAGAACTTCACAGTTGAGGAAATCACAGATACGCCAACTAACTAAAGTGCTGGATTTTTTTCGACGACGTTGAATTCCGAGTCAGATTTTCCAGCATTTTTTTATCGAAAGTGCTTGTTCAATACTTTCCAATATGCCGCCTTCAGACGAGTTTTCACAGCTCCGCAGCAGAATATTGAGCAGCTATTTTCGTTTTCAGTTTTGAGTTATAAAAAAAGTTTTTTAATTGAATCATTACAAACTTTTCAGTATTTTTACTATTAAATGCTAATAACAGTTCATTTAGCAATGCTGCGATAATAAAAGAACTCGAAACCTCAGATGGACTTCGAACCACCATCTCAGGTTCGAAGCCGGCCAGACATTCCAAGTTTTGCTCATATCTCAACATTCCTATGGTTGTATTTCAAATCAAGCCTTGCCATAAAAAACAATAGGCAATAAATAAAATCATAAGAATGCTGAGATACTTGCAAAAGTCCGGACCGCAGGTGTCTGTGGTGGGGAAAGAACGCGGTATTGTTCTTTCTGGGGAATAACGCGTTCACCATCACACCATGCGGGTCCTTCGTTTCGCCTGTCTCTCAGCTAGTTTTATCGATCAATGCCGTCAGCAATCACCCGTCAACGCGGTTGATCTGAGGATCCCAACATCGGCATTGAACCCAGTTAAGCTGAGGCTACAATTGAAATCACAATATTTTACTTTTAATTTTTAAAATAAATATAAAATATTAATAAATAGTAAACAAAATAAATAAAAATATTTAAAAATTTTACAAATAAAAAGTAAAACAATGTGAATTCACATCTCTTAAAAACTCGAAAGACCGACTTTCTATAAACCTCGGCATAGATAGTTGATATATTTATTTATGTGATCTTATAAACTGAATGTGAATTCAACTGCAGCCTCAGCTTAACTGGGTTCGTTGCCGATTTGGACTCCCCACATCAATCCCGTTGACGGGTGGTAGCTGACGGCACTAATCGATAGAACCAGCTAAGAGACAGGCGAAACGAAGGATCAGCATGGTATGGTGGCGAACGCGTTACTCCCCGGAAAGGACAGTAACGCGTTCATTCCCCACCGCAGGTACCTGCGGTCCGGAGCTTGGCAAATATCTCAGCAATCTTGTGGGTGTATTTCGCTTAATAGCCTGCCATAAAAATTATAGAAGGCAGAAAATAAAAATAAAACATAATAAATAAAATTTTGAGCTACTAATGTAGTCACTGTTTACTTACAAGCTGTTCTTTTTAATGGCAAGATATGATGTGAATTATAACCACAACGCAGCTGAGGAATTTACAAAATTCTGGACTGCAGGTGCATGCGGTGTGGATCGAACACGCTGGTACACTTTCCGAGTGATAACAGGTTCATCATCATAACAAGTGCTTATAATTCACATCACACAGTGCGATGAAAAAGAATAGGCAGTAAGTAAAAAGTGACTACATTGTGAATCATGATATAGCTTCGGCTTAGCTGGGTTCAATGCCGATTTGCGCCCCCAGATCAATCCCTTTGACGGGTGATTGCTGATGGTGCTGATCGATAGGGCTAGCCGAGAGATGGGCGATGAGAAAGACCCGAATGGTGAAGTGTTGAGCGCGTTACCCCCAGAAAGGATAGTACCGTGTTCGATCTTCACCGCAGACACCTCTGATCCGTAGTTTGCAAATATCTCACTATCGCTGTTGTTAAAATATTGTTATTCTGTCGGTTTTTCCGAGTTAAAATGTAAAAGTCCAAAAATTAAAAAAGTGGTCAAAAGCGTAAGATATCTAGATGCAATCTTGAAGTCGGTCTGATATTCCGTTCAGTGTTAATTTCCTTTCTCCTACACTAGGATAGGAGTTTAATTGAGTGCGTAGTTCAGCGTAATAAGGATCCGATCGCAATCAAGTTCCTAGTTCGGGTATGCACCGCGTAAAACCATCCGGCTAAAAAATTCAATCGATCTGGACTACAAAAGTTTAAATTATCTTGACGTATTCTCGACGGAGTGCGTTTCTCGATCAATACAGCACTTGAGCAAATGAGAACTTTACTCATGTGTAGAAGAGATTTGTCCATATCGGTTTCGATTTTTCTGCAGAATCTATTCAACTTTCATTCCCCTTAGAAAACATGTTTCCCAAAATTTATAAAAGAAACCCAATTTCTTAGGGTTCCCAGCACAACCTCGGCAGTCCTAAGTGTTAACGATATATTCACGCGCGTTATCGTCTTGTTCCAGATGAGGTTTCGCTAGTTCAATCTCTTACTGATCGAAATGCGTATCTGGACGATAAAAGCCGAAGAATAAAATGGCTCGAGGACATCGAGATATCAGGAAGACTGACTTTTTGTTGTGGAACTAAAAAACTTTTATCTTTTCATTCGAGATGTGTAGACCCGAATGATTTTTATTTCACTATCAAGAAAGTCTACCACGAGTTGTAATATGTCTGATTAAACGTGAAGTAATAAATCACTCCACATTCACGAATGGAAACCAATGCATATTGTCTAACATGTGTTAAACAATGAATTTGTCAACAACTGACCATGAAATTCACAAAATCTGTCGGATTAACACTCAAAACGCTCAGTGGTTTTATAAACATGAAACGAAAAAAGAGATTCGAATGGATTTGATAAGCACTGGGAGCTTAGCAGTTATCAATTACAAATAAACAATGAGAGTTTTTGTTAGAAAAGTGATGACGCGAAAATATTATCACTACTGGTATTCGATAGTGTAAAATGCTAGCCTAAAACACTGTAGCAACGAAATTGAGTTGACGTTCTTTTGCTCCAAAGCAAGATCGCATACAAAGAATACGTATCGAACGGACTATGATTACTCATAATGGCATTAATTCATTGTAGTTTTGTGCATTGAAATGAATGTGTAGCTTGCACATTGCCTGCTCATCGAGAATATGAAGCAGTATGCAATTAAGAGCATCCTCATCAAGGCCAAATGAACAACAAAGCTTAGCTCAGAATTTACTACTCTGTCAAAGAACGCGTCTAAACATTTTATTTTATCGCGTTTCAAGTGGATTTCGGCCAAAAAGGAAGAACGTGCTATCTTCTCATTTTGGAAAAAAACAAACAAGTCAGATTGGCCGATAACAAAAAGAGAAGAACAGACGATAGATGGACTTAAAAGAACTGTAGAGTGGACTCCGCGAGAATGCAAACGTCCCCTAGGACAGTCATCTCTACCTTAGGAGGACGTGTTCGCAAACAAAGTTAATTACCTGTACAAGCAGATGCAGTTTTTTTGCATATCACGGTATGAGACTCGCAAGCGCTATTATGCTCTAACAAAACTACTACCATGGACGACGATTGCGACAGAAAGGAACGAAGGGCATACGTGCTGGGGTCCGCACAACTCGTGAAGACGGACCATCCAAGTACTCAAGTAAGCAAGTAAATGAGCCAAATGATTTCTTTTACTTATAGCTAGTTCTATTGCATCATTTAATACAAAAGAAATAGAAGAACAATGTTCGAACATTACCTCAGAATGCTCTATAGCAGGCAACCACTAAGTATCTTGGACTTCCGACTAGTAAAAGATGCTTGATGAAGGAAACTCCCGTTCAAAAAGCGTAAGTCATAAATTGCCTTTGTTCTGGTCAAATTGCTATCACCTATAGGCAAAAATTTTTGCTTCCCAGGATCGACTTTCTATTAACCTCGGCATTGGAATATGAATGTGACGTTTCTTGTTCAGCAATCACGAGGTTTTTAAACAGCATACATTTACTTCCATAGAAAAACACAATACAATACAACGCTAGCTGACGTTTCGGTAGTATCGCCTTCTTCAGAGCCTGGAAGGGTATGCTGATATACAATCAACTAGGTCAAACGCTTCAATAACACTTACAGACGAAAAACTCTGTGGTAATTACATGACCAACAGCTTCTCGAAAAACCCACCGCTTCCTTCGTGACTTCCAATGAGAAAGTTTAGAACAGATGATTATAGTCGCATATGGTTGATGACTGAACATCTCACGGCAGACATTGATGCGAACATACGGAGTCAGGTCACGTATGACCTCTGGGCATTTATTCCTGCTATTCATTGTAGGGCTCTTGGCACTTATCCAAAAAGCCTCAAGAAGTTTGCGCGTTGGTGTTTTAGCCTCTTGTGCCACGATACTGACTTTTACTTCAAAATCGTCTCCGCTATGTTTCTGAATCCTATGCATGCCTAGTGGGGTACTTCGTCTTAGTTTTCATTTGCCATCTAGGTGTTCTTTTATACAAACAATGGGTCAGTGGGGCAAAGGCTGCAGGTTTAAAATCATCGGTTATTTCGCATTTTAAAATCGATAAACCAACATGTCCCGTCCAATACCTACTTATTAAAATACATAAGTTGGTATCACCTGATAATCTTGCAACAACCAATCCGTCATCATTTAAGGTTAGACCCATCATCAGCCGTGTAGACGGGCCAACGGATAGAATAACCTGGTTTTTAAATTTAATACTAATCCAGTTGCTTAACCACATTCCAGATCACCTCA